GGGATGAGCTTATATCTTCAAAAATGTCATTAGTTGGCAAGATACAAGGTCATTTCTTAATTATGTTAAATTGCACTGTACTTTTTATCTATTGACATTTTAAAGATATAAGCTCATTCCGATGTTACACTCATCAAGAGCTTTCATTTGAGTACCTACTTGCATTTTTGATATATTTTTCATATATACATATATATAATATATATAAATATATGAAAAATTGATGTGGGTGCTCAAATGAAAGGTTTCGATGAGTGTAACATCGGAACGAGCTTATATCTTTAAAAATGTCAATATTTCACAAGATACAAGGTAATTTCTTAATTATGTATCTAGAGATAGAGCATTTTTGAATGCAGCCTAAATACTTATCATAATAAATTGACTATTGGTGAAAATGATATGAAACCTTGAAAAGGCACAAATTCAAATCAAGACCTTTGCAATGACACTAAATTTCACTAAAAAAAACCGATTTTATCATATGACTACTCTGGAAACAAAATTTTTCTTATTCTCTTAATAATATAGATTCCATTTTTTTTTTTCAGTGAAATAAAATTGTTAAATAATTTTTCAACAAAATAAAAATAAGAAAAAAAAAATAAAAATGCGTACCTTGTTGTCGCATAAATATAAGGAAGTATTAATAGGTTTGAAAGGTTCAAAGTCAATGTTGACCTTCTTTTCTTTTCCTTCCTCAGTGACGATAGTCCCGCAATATATAACCAGGCCATTGGGAGGTACTGTCAATAAAAATAACCTCATTTATTAAACCGACTGAATTCCAGCTTACTCCTATACCTATAAATACTATTATCATTAAAAATTACCTTTAGTATATAATTTAAGACGATGCTGCACAGATGTGATTGCACCAAGTACCGATAGCCTATTTACACGTGACTTGATGTTAGACGCGGTACCGAATTCATCGGCCAACATTTTGCTGACCCGGGAGATCTGATCTTTTGGTGGTATGATCAGGGAAATCATACTCGTTCCATTCCTAGTATAAAAATTATTAATATAAAAATTAATCAATGAGTTTTTTCAACAATTAAAGTCACCATATGTCAAGCAAGTTATTTAAAAAAATATTAATATTCACCCCCTGGCCATTTCAAGACTCTTGATGAGTTTCTTGATCTTCCAGATCTCAACATTTCTATCAGCTGAAGTTTCTTCGTTGGACATTTTTGCGCGTGGTAATAAATTTACACCGTGGCAATTTAATTAAATAATACGATTCGGAGAAACTCGGGTTTCAGGTCCAGCCTGATCCTTGGCAGACCAAGGGCAAGTTCAATTGTTACTATCTGTAATAAAAAATTATCGAGTATGAGTAATAATCACAATCATAATAATAATTATTATTGCTAATATTAAAAATGTGAAAAAATTTTTAATATTGAAATTAGGTTTTTTAAATTTAAATTACAAAAAAAAAAAAATAATAATAATTATTATTATTATTATTGACATTAAAAATGAAAAAATTTTTTTAATATTGAAATGTTTTTCAAATTTAAATTAAAAAAAAAAAAATAATAATAATTGTTATTATAACAATAATAATAATAATTATTATTATTATTATTGCTGATATTAGAGTGTAAAAAATTTTTTAATATTGAAATTAGGTTTTTTAAATTTAAAATAATAATAATAATGATTATTATTATCATTATTATTATTATTGACATTAAAAATGTGAAAAAAATTTTAATATTGAAATTAGATTTTTTAAATTTAAATTAAAAAAATAAAAAAAAAAACAAATTTTATAAAAATTTTTTCACCAGTTAAATGAATAAAAAAACTTTTAAGATGTCTGCTAATTTCAATATCATTTTTGACAATATTAAATTAAATTAATTAGTAATAATTTTCTAAAATAATTATTAAAGAAAGTTTATACTGAATAGAAGCTAGCAAGATCATCAATATGAACTGGCTAGATCCAGTTTATACCGGATTATGTCAGTGGAAGAATGTATGTGGAGGCAACTACAGCAATGCTACATTTACAATCTACACTACAGACTATACTAGTATCGTTCACTCTGTCTCATTCACACCAGCAAGCGCGCCAGAGCTCTCTCTTTCTTATTCTCACATCGTGGCACCAGCTACCAACTACTGCTGCCTTCACTGCGGACTGAGTCACTTGAAAAATTCAACACATTTTTTTTATAAATTAAAATTTAAATAAAAATAAAAAAAAATAAATACTTAGAAATAATTGCAATATCCACGTCCTATAAATAATTATAATTATAATTACAATTTTTAAATTTCAATATGCTTTATGTCGAACTAACGGAGTAACTAACCAACGATCAATTGATCACCACTTAATAAAAACTATTTATTTAAAACAAAAATGAGCTTTAAACTTACTCTGACCTCGCGACTAATCTTGCGGGTTTTTAACCGTCTAGGACGGCGTGGACTCCGATGCGGGCGGAATGACGACAATTGATACAATATTTTTATTTTTTTGGTACACGCACACGTCGGCCATAAGCATAAAAAGGCACTATCAATGCTACAGTCCGTGGAGCCTGCTACAGTAACGTCACTGCGGACATTGATGGCGGTAACGGTAACTGGAATTTTTTTTTAAGAATATTTTTATTATTTTATTATTTATAAATTACTTATTACTCATTATTTATTTTTTTTTTACAGTAAATTTTAAGTTTAATAAAAATTTTTTATGAAGATGATAATTTTTGGTGGAAAGTTAAAGATTTTTTTTAAATCCGCGCCATTTGCTTTACGCATTTCCGTTCGGGTGGTTATTCACTGAACTAATACACGCTGCGTCATCTGGCGGGGAAAAATTTACTGTGTTATATGTATCTAGAATTGGAATGTTGGAGTTATGGAGTTGCACTCTGGTGGTAGAGAAGAAATTACTTGTATTTATAATTTTAAGCTGCAGATGGCTGCAATGGAAGCAACTTGTTCCAGTGTTCATAACTCTTTACTCCAACGATCCGACTTTTTAAGCGGAGTGGAGAGTTTAATTAATGTTTTAAATTATTTGAAGCGTTAATTAAATAAAAGCTTATGTTTACTAAGAGAAAAAAAAACTGTTGTCCGGGCAAGGATTTCTTCGGTCAATAATTTTTTAAATGCGCCATTTAAATTTATTGATTTCTTGATAGAAGAATGTCAATATTCATTTTCAGTATGGTAAGTAAAAATCTGTAGCTTTATTCGAATGAAGTTAAAATTATTATGCCATGATATTAAAGTTAGCAGTCACTAGAGAATTTTTTTTAACAAACAAATTTGTTAAAAAAAATTACTTTTAAAAAATTGCATTTTTTATTTTTTTAAATTTCTACATGTCAATTTTTTTTTTCTAATTTTTTTTGCCATAATTTATTTAAAAAAAAAAATTCTAAAAATTATTAAATATCTGCTAAATTTATTTTCATGTCACTTGACCATTTTTTAATTTTATTAAACAAAAAAATTTGTCCCGAAAAATTATTTTTAAAAAATTGCATTTTTAATTTATTAAATTTTCTAAATGTCAATTTTTTTTTCTTATTTTTTTTATCCAGTAATTTATTTAATGACATTAAAGTTAAGTAGCAGCCACTTGACTATTTTTTAATTTTTTTTTAACAAATAAATTTGTCCTAAAAAATCAATTATAAAAAATTGCATTTTTTAATTTTTACATGTCAATTTTTTTTTCTAATTACTTTTTACCATAATTTACTTGTTAGAAAAGTTCTTAAAATTATCAAATGTCTGCTAAATTAATTTTCATATTTATTTATTAGAAAAATTATTAAATATCTGCTAAATTAATTTTTATTATTAATAATACTAAAGTTAGCCGACGTTTTTAATTTTTTGATTTTTCTTCATTAATTAAATTAGAACAAAAACATATTTTTTAAAAATTGCACTTACAGTTTTTCAAGTTTTTTACAAGTGACATTTTTTAAAAATTTAATATAAATTGTGACAAAAAAAATTGACCTGTAGAAATTTAAAAAAATTAAAAATGCAATTTTTTTTTCAATAATTTTTTAGAACAAATTATTTTGTATAAAAATAATTAAAAAATTGTCAAGTGATAGCTAAATTTAATGTCATCAATTTGGCTAATTTTTCAGACAAGAAAATTTATTTTTTTTTTTTTTAATAGGAATATATATTCTTGAGTCAAGAAAATTTTCTTAATATAAGAATTTCTTTTTTTCAAGGTAAGGTAAATGACCCAATAATTGACACTGGCCTAGTTGTTTAACACTTGCAATTTTAGTCTAATTAAGAAAATAAATTGTTCCTAAAAAATCAAATATCTTAAAATTTATAATTCAAAATAGTATATTACACACCTAGGGAAGTAAAGTAACAAATGTCTCAGATCACATGTAATTGTTGGCCGAGGCGAAGCCGAGGTCAACAAACATGTGATCTGAAGCTTTCTTATTTACTTCCCCAGGAGTGTATGCTATTTTTTTAGGCATATCAAGCTAGCAGTGGCAGAGCCCATCTTGGACGGTCATTATTATTGATTTTTCGGAATCTAAACAAGTAACAATATTCTAAACAGAGCAACTAATTAGCAACAAATTTAGCACCACAAATGAATTTTGTTGCTTGAATAATAAGTCAATGCCTGATGGACTCTGCCACTGCTAGCTTGATAGACCTTATTTTTTTTGCTCGACGAAGGCAGAAAGTGGCAATTTCGTTTAGCGCAGCGGGCCGAAATTTGACGCTTTCTGCCCGTCGAGCAAAAAAATTTATTTTTATTAATTTATTAGAGTTGACTTGTTTTTTTTTTCAATTAAAATAAAATGCAAGTGTCAATAACTAGGCCAGTGTTCAATATTTTTTTAGGCATATCAAGCTAGCAGTGGCAGAGCCCATCTTGGACGGTCATTATTATTGATTTTTCGGAATCTAAACAAGTAACAATATTCTAAACAGAGCAACTAATTAGCAACAAATTTAGCACCACAAATGAATTTTGTTGCTTGAATAATAAGTCAATGCCTGATGGACTCTGCCACTGCTAGCTTGATAGACCTTATTTTTTTGCTCGACGAAGGCAGAAAGTGGCAATTTCGTTTAGCGCAGCGGGCCGAAATTTGACGCTTTCTGCCCGTCGAGCAAAAAAATTATATTTATTAATTTATTAGAGTTGACTTGTTTTTTTTTTAATTAAAATAAAATTGCAAGTGTCAATAACTAGGCCAGTGTCAATAACTGGGTCTTTTACCTTAGTAAAAATAAGTGAAGAATTTTTAAAAAATATGAGAAGAAATTCTTTATGAATGTAAACTTAGTTTCTTGGAAGAAAGTAATCTAGGAAGTTTCTGTAAACATAAGACTCAAAAATCTAGTTTTGACATTTCATGAATTAGACAGATTACAAAAATGACAAGTCTAGATAAAGAATCTGACAAAGCTACAACACCGTGAGATATTACAATACTCCTTCATATTTTTGTACGTTCTGCTCATCGGAATGTGAGATATACCTCGCGAGTAGGGTTCCCTAGATAGTTAGTTTTATCGAATTTTCACCTTTACATGCTGTTTGTTGTTTTAAGATACCAAGCGTACACTTTTATCAATATTCAAAGAGAACAATCTGAAGGAGTAGATCTGATAAATAATTGTAAGTTTTTCCTGCTCGAGAACAGCAACGTCGCGTTGAAGATTAAAGATTCAATAGGTAATAAATATTTATTGGAGAATAATTGTTGACAAACTAAAAAATTTTCTTTGCTTCAACAATTCTCAAGTTTTTTTTTATGTTAAATAAATTTGTTTTATTAAAATCTTTATGTTAAAAATAAAAAAGTCGGAAACGGGGCCCATAACCTATAGCTAAAAATTCTGGAATTTAATAAATGAATTCCGCAATAAATTTATTGACTACCTTCTCTATTGGAGAATAATTAAAATAAAAAAAAAAAGATTTTGCGATTTTTTTTACAAGATTATGATCTTAAGGAGATCCAAGTACCCTGCTAGTGTAAAGAATGTCTATAAAAAAATAATACGTAGAAATACTTTTGTTATGCATCTTAAAATTAATTTCCAAATTAATTAACAACATTTTTGAGAAAATTTCCGATAAATTTACTCATTAATAATTATTAACATTTAGTTAACTAATAAAAAATATAGCACTCTGAATTACCGGTATACATTCGACAACACCGCAAGAGTTCCCTAACCTTAAAATTTATTTATCTTTACTGTCTAACTAAAATGACTAAGACCTTCTAGCATTTAAAAAACCGTGGTTACTTATGCGCCCGGTATCTGCGCAAGCGGTGTTGCCAAGTCAAATACAAGACTTTAAAGAACGGAAGTTCTGAGTGATTTTTCATAAAAAATATAAAATATCTCCGTAATACGTTCGGAAAGCTACTTTTTTTATTGTTTTAATCGAAAGCTTATTATTTTTTCAATCAAATTCAATGAAAATAAAATTGTTTTAAAATCGTTAATTGCATTAAATTCTTAACCAAATACACGGCTGGTGGAATCTCCATTCACCTACAAGTAAAAATTACAATTTTCGAATCTAATTATTTAATTAAATATCCCGGAAACCTACTGTTTTTAAATTTTTTTATTAATTATTAGGCTACGTAGATTGAATCTACAAATTTTCATTGTTTTAAAAATTTGACTACTTCGCATGGATCTCCTTAATAAGGAGATCCAAGTACCCTGCTAGTGTAAAGAATGTCTAAAAAAAATAATAGGTAGAAATACTTTTATTATGCACCTTAAAATTAATTTTTAAATTAATTAACAACATTTTTGAGAAAATTTCCGAAAAATTTACTCATTAAATAACTATTAACATTTAATTGACTTATAAAAAATATAGCACTCTGAATTACCGGTGTAGACTTGACAACACCGCAAGAGTTCCGCAATCTTTAAATTTATTTATGTTTACTGTCTAACTAAAATTACTAAGATCTTGTAGCATTTAAAAAACCGTGGTTACTTATGCGCCGGGTATCTGCGCAAGCGGTGTTGCCAAGTCAAATACAAGACTTTAAAGAATGGAAGTTCTGAGTGATTTTTCATAAAAAATATAAAATATCTCCGTAATACGTTCGGAAAGCTACTTTTTTTATTGTTTTAATCGAAAGCTTATTATTTTTTCAATCAAATTCAATGAAAATAAATTTTTTTTTAAATCGTTAATTGCATTAAATTCTTAACCAAATACACGGCTGGTGGAATCTCCATTCACCTACAAGTAAAAATTACAATTTTCGAATCTAATTATTTAATTAAATATCCCGGAAACCTACTGTTTTTAAATTTTTCTATTAATTATTAGGCTAGGTAGATTGAATTTACAAATTTTCAGGGAGTTTTAAAAATTTGACTACTTTGCGTGGATCTCCTTAAGTATATAATACAAGTACAATAAATTAAAAGTTATCGCTATCAATGTTTACAAGAAGTGACTTCTGCAATCAGTAAGAAAATATCCTGTGCGACACTAGTGTAGTCTTGATGAGAAACATTGTCAAGCAGGTGCTGATAGTATCAAAAGCATTTATAATAATAATTGGAGGAGAGAAAAAAAAATTGGAATGAGTTGTAGAGAAGGTAAAAGTGTGTACACCAGAATTGGCCGTTAAACAAATGACA